CCCAGGCCTGGCTCTAAATACACCCCTTGTAAAGTCACACGAGATCCACTCCCCCCTGAGCTGGGTCCTTGCCTCTCTATCGTCATCCCAAGCGTAAGGACATGTGCGAGATCTGGAAGATTCCTAACGGGACGCTTCCAAAGCTGATGTGGCCAACTTGCCCACCGCCCTTAAGATGTTTATTTAAATGAGTAAGACTAAACAAAATGAACTCTACTGGTGCAACTATTTATCCAAAACTTCTTCACTAAATAAAAACGAAATTTGTCCCTTACCCAGTGTTAGGGGCTGAAGCGGGTCTCACCTCACCCCTACTCCCCCATTCATTACGTTGAAGTCCTACCCACCAGCAGCCCAGAATGTGACTGTATTTGGAGAGGGGATCTTTAAAGAGGTGATTCAGTTAAAATGAAGTTATTAGAGTGGGCCTGATCCAACAGGACTAGTGTCCTGATGAGGAGATTCGGACACGGACACGCACAGAAGGAGGACGATCTTGAAGACGGCCGACTACACGCCAAGGAGAGAGGCCTTGGAACAGATGCTCCCCTCAGAAGAAACCAGCCCTGCCAACACCTTGATCTTGGACTTCTGGCCTCCAGGTCCATGAGACAATAAATCCCTGATGCTTAAGCTGCGGGGTCTGTGCTTCTTTGTCCCAGTGGCCCTGGGAGACTCCTCCATTCAGCAGTGACAGTAATGCAATGCCCGTGGCTGGGTCCCCTCTTACACATACAACCCCGTGGAGCAGGGCAGAGCTGGGTTATAAATGAGTGAGTCAGACCGGACAGCTTATTCATTGCTCCGACTAAACCGCAGGCTGAACCTTTGAATCACTACTTTATTTATCATCGGGCATGGGCTCAGAAAGTCTCGACGAGGAAATGAGTAGAACCCAAGCTCATCAGCTGTGTTTCTGAGACATGCCTAATTTCCGAAGCCTTTGCTGGGCCAAAGTGAAAAGAGGTGAAGTGACAGGGCCCGTCGGGGACCCGGTGATGCTCAGACAGAGCTCTTTGTTCTGCGACTCTGTCCGTTCCGGATGAGGGCAGAGAGAAGGGCCTGTCTTGCTCTGCGGGGAGGCTGAGCAGGGGCTGCCGAGCAGGGGCTGCCTGGCACAGTTGGTTGGGGATGCTGGGCACACAAAGGGCTGGTGGATGGGGACTGGTGGGGGAGGGCAATGTCCAGAAGGGGTCGGGCGGCCCCAGAACGTGCTGTTTCCTCCCACGGAGTTACAGCAGCGCAATGTCTTGGTTGGGGAACAAGCAGGGGAGGCGTGTGATGAGCAAAAGTTAGACGGTCTGTGCACAAGGAGCGGCCAGCGTCTGGAGCCACGAGGGCGAACGGGAGAAGATAATGTGGCTTTAGGAGCCACAGTGATCTGAGGCCACCCCCAAAGTAGCTCTCGAGAAGAGAATCTAATACCTCTAATCTCGGAAGAAAAGCAACAATGTGTTCTGAGCCGAGGGACAGTTCCTGCAGAAATCCAGGTCAGTTGTAAGACAAAGAGAAAGACAATGGCATCTGCTGTCCCCGTGAGCGAAGATGGCCCTGGCTCACCTCTTGTTCCTCCTCTGCTGCCCATTCTGGGGGCGTGCTGCCTAATTCCCCCCTCAGTCCTTTCCCAGTGCTGCCTCTTTTTTTTTTTTTTTTTTAAATCAGGACTCTAGATTAAGAACTGACCAGATGGCAGAATTTGGTTGCCAGCCGCTTTGCCCCCACGCCTGCCCTTGGCAGCAGTTGTCTGGGAGCTGACCAAACACCAAAGACCCACTGAGGCAGAGGGAGGCCTCGGGCTATAACCAGATTTCACTACAGAGCGAGGGTTCTTGGGCCCTGAGAGACACAGCCCCATCTGGAGACATTTTTCGTGGTCACGACGCAGAGGGTGTATGCTCTTGGCTGTCCAGCCGGTGGAGACCAGGGATGTTGCTTGATATCTTGTGGGACGGCCCCCACAGCAAAAAATAACCCAGCCCCAATGTCAATGGTGCTGTGGTTGAGAAACTGTGCTCCAGCAATTTGGTCTTTGCCAATTTGAGGTTACTAATAATCCTTTGTGTTTCTGGAAAGCCCAGGGAGCCATCTCTGGCACTGCCGCCTGCCTGAGCCTCAGTTTCCATACTGAGAAAAGAACCAGGACTGCTTGCCGCCAGTTGGCAGAATAAAAGAGATGGGTATAAAAGGGTCTATCACAAAGGATGGTCAATAAAGGGCAGGGCAGGGCAGGGATCTGCTCATGCAATTCCCTCTTCCTGGCTTGATTTAACACCTCTGTATCCTTCGAGGCCTGGCTTGGACCTTGCCACCTCTTCCAAGGATGCCTGCCAGAATCCCCCAAGCCCTGAAGCTTGCACTGGTCATCCCTGATTCTATCCCACCACGTCTGTTGCTGCACTGACCACCCACTCTGCATTTCATTATTCCTGTGGGAGGGAGAGCACTAGAATATCCCCTCCTCCCAGGCAGGAAGGCTCATCTCTGTCACCGGGGCCCAGCCCCCAGCACTGGAAGGATCAGCCCTTGCTGAATTGAACTCCCAAGCCCATGTAAGACACAACTTTGGGGAGATGAGGAAAGGGAAGTGGTAAATTAACAAGCCTCTGTTGGGGACAGAAAATAGAGCATACAGGCAAACAGAAAGGGGACATTCCCGAGTCTCTACCCTGTCCTCTGAGCCAGAGGCCTGGAACTGAGGGAGAGTCTCACTCAGGGATTTCTGACCAGAAAGGTGCAGCTGAAGCTTTGGGAACAGATAGAACGTGCAAAAGCAAACATGGAATTTGTGGAATTTTCCATGCAGAAGATAAAGGAACTGTAAAAAAGGTTGTTTTTAGATACAAACTATACAATGAAAAGCTGAACACAAGCGGGATCACTGCAGTGGGGATTCACTGTATAAAATACGAGGAGGCTGTGTGCGGAGACGCTAAGATTTTCAAGATTGGGTTCTGAAGTTGAGAAATGCTGACTGAAGCCAACCCATTCATTTTGTAGGTGAAGAAACAAAGAGACTCGAGGGAGGTCGGGACCTCCAACACGAGAGCCTGCCTGGCCTCACTCCTGCTACTGGGAGACAAGCACCAGGGCCATGCAACCAGAAGATTCCAGTCCTGTTCATTGGGGGGTGTCCTAGCCAGGGCAAGCCCACACTCAATGTCCGTAGGAGGCATGACTTTGGGCTCTGATCACGTGCCCTGGGGCAAGCAAGGCCAAAAGCCACCTTCCAAAAGGGCCAGAACATTCTGGAAGTAAAGAAAAAAGTTGTCTCTGTGTGTCCTTCTTTATAATTTATCCAGATTCATCTCCTGAACTAGCTATAAACCCAGCCCCCACCCCCCCCGCCCTTCTGGCAGATCCTGGACAAGGATCCCCACAGTTAGGAAAGAAGAGAAATTAATGTGGATTAAAACTACCCAGTGCAAGGTCCTTGACAGAGCCGGGCCCATCAGACGATGAAACGACCCCCCAGCTCAGCTGCCCAAGAGGCCTCCCACTGCTCCTGGATGCCATAAGAGTCTGGAGACTCCAAGACCAGAATAAACCTCAGGAAGGTAGGAGCTGGGACCCTCCAAAGGCAAGACACGATGTCCCCACCAACTCCTACCTCAGACAAAGAGGTGCAGGAGTGGCTTTCCCTTAAAGACCCCTGGCCTATGGAGCACCGGGACACGGGGCACTGGGGAAAGAAGGGAGAGCACGCCAACTGCCTGCCCCGTGGCTGCGGGCTGCCCTGCCTCTCCCCGGCTGAGCTCACAGCCGCCGGGGGACAGATTTCCTGTATGTCGTTTTACCCATTTAAGTCCAAGGATGCAACTCTGAGGAGGTGGTGACAGCCTAGCACACGCGGGTGTGTGCACACCCACTCCCTCCCCTCTCAAACCCAGTTCCAGGCCCCAGTGAGGTCTGGAGTCTCCTTCCTTGCTCCCTGGGACCCCTGGCTCCAGCCAGCCCTGTCTTAGGAGGAGAGTGGCGTGGTTTTTCAGGTCTGGAATACCAGAATACCAGCCCAGAGGGTACTGGGACTCTCCGGGGGGGGGGGGGTTACCCAGCAGCTGGGGGTGAAGTCAGGAAACAGATGAATTGAGAGGAAGGGGGCCCTAAAATCCCATGTGTTGCACCCCAACGTCTGTACCCTTGTTCTTTCCTCTCCCCCTCAGCACCCCCCTGAACTGGCTCTCAGTTCTCGCCATGAGTTTTCTCCCCCTCTCCCATTGCCCCCCTTCCCCATTCCGCCGGCCACCACACCAGTGGGTTCGGACCTCCAGAATCTGAACACCCACAGAATCTCAGGCGCCTCTCTCCCCCAGGAGCCATTCCTCTAACCCTTCAATCGAGGGCAGATGCCCCCAGGCCGTCCTGTAACTCTTCCCCCAATCGCACCCCGGCTGTCCCCCCACCGGCCTTGCCCCATGTCCCCCGCCTGGGCCTCTCAACCCCGCCTCCTTGCCTTTCCCCCTCCCAGCCCCGTTTCCTGCGACCCCCAACTACCACTAAAGCCACGTCCTCTTCAGAGAAGCCGCTCAAAGCCACAAGACCTGCTCCCTCTGCATCCGCAAACCCCCTTACCAGGCCCATTCCATCAACTTTCTCCTTAACCGTCCCGCTCCCACTCTCGTCTCCAGCAACCCCTTCACGACCCCCAAGCTCGTTCCCGCTCCCTCGACCCCAGCCTTAGCGCCTCCCAACATTAACCCTCAGCTCCGTAGCCTACAAGGCAACCCGCCAATGCGAGCTTCGAGAGCAAGCCCCCAGCCCGCGGCCGCCGCCACTCACCTGGGCCTCGGCCGCCGCGCGCCGCCGGTCCCGGGCCGGGTCCCCGCCCGGCCGCCCGCCCGACCGCCCACCACTGGTCGGGCCGCTCCGCCCCGCCGCGCCCGCCGCTCCCCCGCGCGCTCCCGCTTCCGGGTTCCGGAGGGGCGGGGCCAGGGCGTGACGCCAGCGCGCAACGGGGCGGAGCGCCGCGAAGACCCGCCCCCTCCCAACAGCCTCCACACGGCCTCCTGCCGCTGGTGGATGAAACCAAGTGTGAGGGGAAGACAGAGAGTCGCGCGCGCAGGGGTCGCGCGCTCCACCCGCAGGCACGCTCCCTGAGGCCAGCGGCCACCCCTCCCATGGCGGCGCAATATGGCCCGGCCCGGGGCGAGGGGGCGGGGACCCGGCCTTGAAGAGCCGGCCTTTGAGCTAAAGGCGGGAAATGGCGGATTCCTCGGGACGCGGGGCTGGGTGAGTTGAAGCGCCACGGGTCTGGATTTTGTGGGGCCGGCGAGTAGACCATGGCCGAGAGCTGGGAGAAGTGGGGCAGCAGAGTTAGGGATTGGGGATTTGACCCCTTCAGGACCCCCCCGAGGGTGCACAGGCGCTGGGAGGCGGGAGGCGGCTTCTGCGCATGCTCGGCAGCCTGTGCGCGGAACTAGCCTACAAGTCCCTAGTCAGTTGTGTGGGTGCGGGGCTATCCCTGGCTAGTGGCTTAACCTCTCTGTGCTTTCGCTTTGCTCCGCTGAGAAACGGGGCGAATGACGCCGCCACTCAACCTTGTAGGCCTCGGGTGAAACTTAAAAGCTCTTAGAACAGTGCGTGGCGCTTGAATGTGATCTGTCGCGATTACAGTTACCATTTTAGAGTGGGCAAGCGCTGGGCCACTAAAGTATCTCCTTTAATCCTCCCAACCCTTCTTTTCTGTGCTTTCCCTTCACAGAAGAGATGATAGAGGCTCAGGGAGAGAAGGTCATTTGTCCAGGGTCACACAGAAAGAACAAGAGAGACGGACTTGGACCACTTATCCGGTGCCAGGCATGATTCCTGGCCTGGGTTTGTTTTATTTGTTCACTCGGCCGATGTTTTATTGTGCCAGTGCAAATTGACGTTTAATAGACCAGCTGAAATCACTTGTGTTTTCTCCAGGGTCCATTACGCTGTGAGATTGCCATTACCCTCTCCCGAGTTTTGGGGGGAGGTACCTGAGGCTGGCACAGGTGTGGTGAACCCACCCCCCCCATCTCGTTGGACTCCGGAGCCCTGGATCAGACCCCATAGGGAATCCGTGCTCTGTCCCTTGCCAGCCCTGAGACTTGCCAGGGATGAGCTGTTCAAACACTCAGGTCCTCGTCGGAAAACAAGGATAAAGCAGACCAGGGGGGAGGTATTTGTAGGGTTGGGAGGGTTCTGTGAAGGAGCAGAGCTGCTGGCACCCAGTGAGCATTATTTGGTTGGTTGCCTCTCCCCACTGTGGCCCAGCACCCGCTGGGTCTCACTTGGGGTCCTCAGAGCCTGCTGCACAGGAGGTGGCTGCAGTGAGCTGAGCAAGGGGACCACTGCTTTGTGACCAGTGGAGCTTGTGTCCTGATGTTGGCAGGGGTTACAGCGCCCAGGCCCCTGCCCTGCCCCTCAGTCTGCTCCTCTCGAGTTGCTGGTCTCTGTTGGTAGCATCTCCCTTGCCCAGACTGCACACCTGGGAGGCATTCCCAACTCTCCTGCCTCAAGGTTCCCTCTCTCCTATTACATCGAACTTCCATTATTTCTTTCCTTAAATAGGGGTGAAACACATAACAGCATTTTAAAGTGAGCAATCTAATGGCCTTAAGACATTCATGCTGTGCAACCGCCAGCTCTGTTTGGTTCCAGAACATTTTCATCCACCCAGAAGGAAACTTTGTACCCATATTCAGCCACTCCCCATTCATCCACCCCTCTGCTCCTGACAATCACAATCTGCTTTTTGTCTTACTTTGCCTGTTCTGGACATTTCAGATACATGGAATCGTACAATATGTGTCCTTATGTGTCTGTTTTCTTTCATGCAGGACAATTTTTTAAAGAGATTTTATTTATTTTTTTAGGTAAACCGTACCCGCAATGTGGGGCTCAGACTCCTGACCCCAAGATCAAGAGTCGCGTGTCCCATGGATGGAGCCAGCCAGATGCCCCTAGGATAATATATTTTTTTAAGTTTTTTTTTCTTTAAAGATTTATTTATTTGAGAGCGAGAGAGAGAGAAAGAGAGAGAGAGAGAGAGAACGAGCAGGGAGAGGGGCAGAGGGAGAGAATCTCAAGCAGACTCTGCCTCAGGGCTCCATCTCAGGACGCTGAGATCATGACCCAGGCCGAAATCAAGAGTCAGACGCTTAAACGACTGAGCCACCTAGGCACCCCATCCCAGGATAATATTTTTGAGATTCATCCATCTTAGCATGTAGCAGTACTTTGCTTCTTTTTCGGGCTGAATAACACTCAGGGTTTGTTATTTCTTGGCAGGAACATACAGCTCACAAAGCTGAAAATATCTGTTGTCTGGTCCTTTACAGAGAAAGATTGCCATTAGGTAGGCTGAGCCCTTAAGCTGGAAAGTCAGAACTCTGCCAGCGAAGCCAAAGGGCTGATCAGTGCCTATTTCAGCATCATTCTCCTCTGCCCTTGTGCCCTTGGCCTTGTTGCTCCCTGTCCCTGAATGTCCTTCCCCATGTACCTGAGCAAACGGGGCTTTGTCTCTCACCTCCCCTCACCTCTTTACCTGTCTGGGGCACTCTTCACATTGCCTGACAGGAAAACACTGTCAGGCAATGTGAAGGGAAGCGCCTCTCAGGGAAGGAGCTCCATCTCTTGTTCACCAGGTATCACCAGGAGCGTATAGTAGGTACAGAAATACCTGATGCATTAATGAACCCCTGACTTAAGTTGAGATCTCTGGGGCTTGGCAAACCTGCTTGCTCTTCTCACTCTTGGACCCTTCTCAATTTCAGCCAGGCAGGGGCTCTGTGTCTCTGTTCCAGTCAAGGTGGCCCTGCCTCGCAGACATCAGCGTTTATGGGGAGAGGTGGGGGGATGCTGGGACTGAGTTGTCCCCAGTCTCCTCGCTGCCTTCCCTGAGCTTAGCCAACTACGTAACCATGTCAACAAGACCCCTATCTCCCTCTTCTAGGAAACCTTCCACGGGGGGTCCCGGTACTCCCAGTGGTGCTAAGATGAAAGGAAAAAGAACACAAGGTGAGCAAAGTTGGAATCCAGCTTACGATCCAGTTTCAGTAAGTGTTTTGGGGGAAGAAAAAAACCAGGCCAGAGCAGGGGAGCTAGGCTTTATTTCCTTCTAGTCACACCTTTGGGGATTCCGAGTCTGGTCACCCAGCCCTGCAGCCAGGGGTGTGGCAGGACCTGGGGGAGGTCATCCAGGGCAGCAGTGGGCCCTTCCAGCAGTGGGGGTCACAGGCTGTGCCCAGGACTCACCACTAGGAAGTGTGGGTGAGGAGAGCCGGTGCTGAATTCATTAGCAAACCCTGGAGTCTCAGTTTTCTTTCTGGAAGCACCTCAGGGGTGCCCATGCATGTGGTGTCCCCCTGTGGGTCTGGAGTCACTGTTCACAGCCTCCCTTGACTCTTGGCAATGCCACTTTGGGCAGTGGACTCAAGGATCTCCCTCCTTGGAGCTCAAGCCTCTGATAAAAAGAACTATTTTCTTCAAGTATGCTGCATGCCAGTGCGTGTCTTCGAGAACTTAGAGCAGAATTCTGGTTCTAAGTGACTGGAGGTTCATCCATGACAGCATTGCTTGATGATCTTGTTTATAACCTCTATTGTGTTTACAAGTGGTCTAGTTCTTGAACACAAATTAAATCCTTCATCGTAACATTGCTTCTCTGGAAAATCTACTACTGTTCAAAACAAATATGTGCATCCCGGTTTCTGGAAACTTGAAACTGCTTTTCAGCTGTCCAGGGAACCCCAGGCCTCGGGATCCTTCCAGAGGAGCAAAACCCTTTGCTGATGGTATTAGGCTGAAAGCAGGATCGTTTCCTGTGCTTGGAAATGGGGGTGTTCTTTGCCCTGATCCCTCGCTGGACATCCAGTGGCAGACCCTTGGTGTGTCTTTTCTCCCCTGGACACCACCTGGTCTTGGTCTTGATCCTTAAGTGCCTCCTGCCTGATTGTCTGAGCCCACTCACCCTGCAGGCATGGCTCTTCCTTGCCTGGGGCTCACTCAGGGCAACGACTAGCTCCTTGTCCAGCTCCATGCTCCCCATTAACTATGGATGCACCTCCTTCCACTCAGGATTGTGGCTGCACCCCCAGCCCCAGTGAAAGGTGAAATCCTGGCATGAAGATCCAGTTGAAATCACCGTGTCACTTAACCAAATTGTCAAGCTGTGTGACATTAACCATGTCTTCTTCCTGGGTCTCTTCATTAAAAAGGGAAAGCCCTAAGCTCTAGAGGTACCTAGAAAAAGTGTAGAATTGTGCACTGGATGCATGGCTGGGCACCTAACTCCCTGCTGGGTGGTGGACCGTAGTCGCAAACAAAACAGACAAAAGTCCTGGCCCTCATGGTGCCTGGAACGGAAAGAGTGGGGGCTGTGAGGGGAGAGGGAGGCCCCTTGGGGATGTGAGACCTGTGAGGTGCCTGGAGGTGCTCAGGCTTCACCAGCTCATGGACCTGCAAGGGAGCCCATTCTCAGCCACCAGCGGGGTGGCCAGCCTGGAGGACACAGGATGTTCCAGGGAGGAGGGTTCCAGCAAGTGCTGTGTTCAGGATGTGAATGAGAATGAGTTGGTGGGCTTTGGAGCAGGGAGATCTTGGCGGTCTTGTGGAAAGGAGTTTCTTTGGTGCAGTGGTGATCGTGCGAGCCAGACCGGACAGGAGTGGGGTTCAGGAGAGAGTAGAGGAAGACGAGCCACCATTGTCAAGGGGAGTGGGACAGTAGGGGGAGAAGGTATAGTTGGGAGGAAAAGAACAGGAAGATCGATGGAGAGGAACTGGGGGAGGGGGTTTGCCAGGGCAGTGGCAATGAGGTGAGGGCTGGGCTCTACCCCAAAGCACAGAGTTCCCTCCACATGGTGGGGCCAGGATATGGCCCTGAACTTGGGAGGCTGCTAGATGCTGAGGTGGGAGGGTCTCCTGGGGCTGCTTCTGTCTTCATGGTGAAGTAGTAACTGGTCACTAGCTAACTGGAGGGGACCCAGTATGGGGGAAGTGGGAGGAGAACGTACAAGGGAGCGTCTGGGAGGGGGGTTGGGGAACAGAGCAGAGGACTGTGGGTGATCACTGGGGCCATTGTGAGAAACCCCCTTCCTGCGAGGCAGGCATGGAATGGGGGGGGGGGACCTGGGGCTGGGCTAACACCAAGGTATGTGATCTTGGCGTTGAGCATGTTTCCTGAGAGTCCTGAGCTAGGTAAGGAGGTAAAGAGGCATGAAAGGCTCATATCATGAGTAGGTCATACACAGACTCAGGTGAAGTGAAGGAAGGGGTGGTTGGGGTCCTGACTGCAGGGAGTGAGTTGGGAAGGGAGGAGGAGGAGGCGGCAAATAGGCGCCCCCCTGTGGAAGGTCTTTTATCCTGGCCCTGCCCTGCCCCTGAATCCACTTTCTGCTTTGAGCATATTCCCTTAACGTTCCTGCGACCCTCTGGGGCTCTGTCCTTAGCCTAGGGACTTATAAACCGTAGGTATCCCACACGTTCTCGCACACACTAGGTGTCCCATACATGCTCGAGGACGCTGAAGCATAGGATCTGAGAGGAGCAAGGGGGAGCAGCTCCCCTGTTCCTGCTGTTGATCAGGGAGGGGGCATAGTACCTGGCTCTTGATGGGAGGGTGGGGGGTGGTCTTCACACTCCACCACTGTAGTCTTGTTATAAACCAACAGTGTGTCCCCCACAGGTGGAAGAGTGGTTGAGTCCCGATACTTGCAGTACGAGAAGAAAACCACCAAAAAGGTAACAACGTTGGTTTGAATGTTCTGAATGGAGTTCCGTCGGACTTGGAATTCTGACCCAAGTCCCACGGGCCGGGCACAGCATGGTCCTGAATCCCTTTTGCAAAGACATGATCTCTATTGAAACCGGAGATTGTTCCTTTCAACCCGATAATTCCTTTCTGGATTCTGTCCTGAAGCAGTTCTGTTGGGTGCCCAGCACACGGTCCCTGGCCTTGGCTGGCGTTTAAAAAACACAGGGTTTTAAAGAAGGACTATGGGGAAAAAAACAAAGGGTCTGAATCACCCAGTGTTAGAGGCAGAGTTTAGTGAGCTGTCTGCAGCCACATCACGAAATTCATGCAGCCGTTGAAAATGATGGGATGGGGACACCTGGGTGGCTCACTTGGTTGGGCGTCTGCCTTCGGCTGGTGTCACAATCTCAGGGTCCTGGGGTCGAGCCCCGCGTCAGGCTCCCTGCTCAGTGAGGAGCCTGCTTCTCCTGCTGCTGCTCCCCCTGCTTGTGTTCGCGCGTGCTCTCTCCCTGACAAATAAATAAAAATCTTAAAAAAAAAAAAAGGTGTGACTAGAAAGTAGAAAATAAACTTAAAAAAAAAAAGAAAATGATGGGATGAAGCACTTAACGACACATGCATTGTGTGGTGTTTAACGGAAACGCTCAGTAGGTGCACCCAGTTACATATCTTGTTTGATTGTGCGCATACTTAGAATGTGGGGAGGTTGTGTTATTCCTTCCATTTTCTAAATTTGGTTTATGGTAAAATTCAGTGAACTGTTAATTTCTGCTCCCTACTTTTTACTCTGGTAGGGTGGAATGGTAGGTTCTTAATAAGGTGACTTAAGGGGCACTTGGCTGGCTCAGTCAGAAGAGCATGCTGCTCTTGATCTTGGGGTCGTGAGTCTGAGCCCCACGTTGGGTGTAGAGATTACTTAATAAGCAAACAAATAAATGAATAAACCCTAAAAAATAGTAATGTGACTTAAGATCCAACTTGAGGAAAAAGGAAACCTTTTCACAAACTGGTATCACTTCTTGGGAGTGATTGGTTGTTTTCAATGGAATTAATTTTGTAAGTTTTTTAATAATTTTTGTTTTTTTTTTATTAAAGATTTTTATTTTTTTTAAAGATTTTATTTATTTATTTGAGAGAGAGAGAATGAGAGATAGAGAGCACGAGAGGGAAGAGGGTCAGAGGGAGAAGCAGACTCCCTGCTGAGCAGGGAGCCCGATGTGGGACTCGATCCCGGGACTCCAGGATCATGACCTGAGCCGAAGGCAGTCGCTTAACCAACTGAGCCACCCAGGCGCCCAATAATTTTTGTTTTTTAGAGAGAGCGCACTTGAGGGGGCAGCAGGGGAGGTAGAGGGAGAGAGAGAATCTTATGCAGGCTCCACACCCTACGCAGGGCTCCATCTCACGACCCTGAGATCATGACCTGAGCCTAAGTCATTAGTCGGATGCTTAACTGACTGAGCCACCCAGGTGCCCCTGGACTTTTTTTTTTTTTTTTAGGGAAGTTTTAGGTTCACAGCAAAATTGAGTGGAAGGTACAGAGATTTCCCATATAACCCCTGCCCCCCGCCACACAGCGCCCCCCCCACTATCAACATCTCCAACCAGAGAGGTGCACTTGGACATTTGAGGAAGCTGCACTGACACATCACCCAGAGTCTGTGTTTTACTTTTTTTGTTTCTGGTTTTTCTTTAAATTCACGTGACTTACTTTGTTGAACTGATTTTCAACAAAAGATCACAGTCCGTGCCTCCTCTAATTTTAGTGTTGCCTTGTAAACTTGTTTACGAGCACCCCTGTGTGTCTGCATGCTCTAGTATTTTCGATCCCTACGACCTTGTCCGTTTTTTGTTTTTCCCATCTCTTAAGGTAGAATTTACATAGAGTAAGTGTTGCTCTTTAGCATACAGTTCTGCGAGTTTTGACAAACTCATCCTGTCACAGACCCACCACCGTCAAGATACGGTATAGTCACCCCCAAGATCCCTTGGCTCTCCACTGAAGCCGGCCCCACCCCATCCCAGCAGTTATCTGATTTCTGTCCCTTTAGCTTTGCCTTTCCAGGAGGTCATTAAAAAGGTGTCACACAGGATGCAGCCTCTTGCATCTGACTTCTTTCACATAAAGGAAAGGAGGTCCCACCCTGTGGTTGCCTGTCACAGTTAGTGCCCGTTCCTTCTGGTGGCTGAGGAATATTCCACAGTGTGAGTGGGCCATAGTGTGCTTAGCCATTTGCCAGTGAAGGACATTTGGTCCGATTCTCTGTTTTGGCAATGGTGATCAAAGCCACCCTAAACGTTCTCGTGTGGGATTCTATGTAGACATGCTCTCATTTCTCCCAGGAGAGGAACTGTAGGGTAAGTGTAGTTTTGACTGACTTGTAGGAAACTGTGCAGCTGTTACCCAGAGTGGCTGCAGCTCTTGACGTTCCCACCAGCCACAGAGGAGAGCTGGGTGGCTTAGTTGTTAGGCGTCTGCCTTCGGCTCAGGTCATGATCCCAGGGTCCTGGTCTGCTTCTCCCTCTCCCACTCCCCTTGCTTGTGTGCACTCTCTCGCTGTCTCTCTCTGTCAAATAACTAAATAAAAATCTTAAAAAAAAAAAAAAAAGACTGAAGCCATTCTAGTGGATGAGAAGTGGTATCTTGTTGTGGTTTTAATTTACATTTCCATAACAACTAGTGATCTTGAGTACCTTTTCATGTGCTTATTGGCCAGTCCTGTATCTTTGGGGATGTGTTCTTTAAAATCTTTTACCTTTTTTTTTTAAGATTTTATTTATTTGACAGAGAGAGAGACAACAAGAGAGGGAATACAAGCAGGGGGAGTCGGAGAAGGAGAAGCAGGCCTCCTGCTGAGCAGGGAGCCCGATGCAGGGCTCGATCCCAGGGCCCTGGGATCAGGACCTGAGCCAAAGGCAGACCTTAATGACTGAGCCACCCAGGCGCCCCTCTTTTGCCATTTTTTAATTGGGTTATGGGTTTCCTCACTGTTGAGTTTTGAGAGCTTTTTATATATCCTGGATACCAGTCATTTATGGTGATTTTCAAATATTTTCTCCCGGTGGCGACACTTCTTTTAGGTGTCTTGGGAGGAGCAGAAGTGCTCAACTTACGGATTTCTGCTTTTATGGATTGTGCTCTTGGTGTCTTATCTGAGAAATCTTTGCCTAACTCAAGATCACAAAGATTTTCTCCCATGTTTTCTTCTATGGTTTTTATAGTTCTTTTATAGTTTTAGATTTTACATTTAGGTTTGTGATCCATTTTGAATTAATTTTAATATCTGGTGTGATGATGGAATTGAAGTTCATTTTTAAGTGTATGGATGTCCTCTGTGCCAGCACCATTGTTGAAATGACTTTCCTTTCCCTGTCATATTATCTCATCACCTTCGTTGAAAAGCAGTTGACCTTTTTTTATGCATCGCTTCTGGACTCCATTTTTTTCATTGTTCTGTGTGTCTGTCCTTAGGCCCCTCACACGCTGCGAAGATTACTGTAGCTTTATAGTCTTGAAATCAGGTAGTATGGGGCGCCTGGGTGGCTCAGTTGGTTGAGCGACTGCCTTCAGCTCAGGTCATGATCCTGGAGTCCCAGGATCGAGTCCCGCATCGGGCTCCCTGCTTAGCAGGGAGTCTGCTTCTCCCTCTGCCCCTCCCCCCTCTCATGTGCTCTCTCTCTCAAATAAATAAATAAAATCTTAAAAAAAAAAAAAAAAAGAAATCAGGTAGTATGAATTCTCCCACTCCATTCTTTTCCAAAACTGGCTGTCATAGTTCCTTTGCTTTTCTTTCTTTTTTTTTTTTTCCTTAGAATGAGAGGAAGCGCGCGCACATGCGAGCTGGGAGGGGCAGAGGGAGAAGGAGGAGAGATAATTTTTTTTTTGTTTTAAGATTTTATTATTTGAGAGAGAAATGAGCATGAGAGAGTATGAGCAGGAAGGGGGAGAGGAGCAGAGGGAGAGGGAGAAACAGATTCCCCCCTGTGCAGGGAGCCCGGCAACTCTAGACTCCACTCCAGGACCCCAGGTCATGGATCATGACCCAAGCTGAAGGTAGATGCTTAACCAACTGAGCCACCCAGGTGCCTCAGGAGAGAGAATTTTAAGCAGGTTCCACGCTCAGTGCAGAGCTTGATGCAGGGCTTGATCTCATGATCCTGAGATCATGACCCGTTCTTTTAATTTTCTGTATGATTTAGACTTAGCTTGCCATTTTCTACCAAAATTTCTACTGGGGTTTTGAATGTATAGAATCTTTGCATCGATTTAGGGAGAATATCCTAAAAACACCAGGCCTTTCAATCTATGAACATGGTACATGTATCCATTTAGTTGGTCATGTTGGATTTCTGTCATCAGCATTTTGTAGTTTCCAGCGTATAGATCTTCCCTATATTTTTTTAGGTTTATACTTAAGTATTTGTTGTTTTTAAATGCTAATATACATGATACTGTCTTTTTTTTCTTTTTTATTGATGAAGACATTTTGTAATTGAGGTATGATCAACATACAACAATATATTTCAGGCATATAACAGTGTTTCAGGATTTGTATATGTTGCAAAATTATCACCACAGTGAGTCTAGTTAACACCTAACACCATACATAGTTTTGTTTTTTCCTTGCTGAGAGCTTTCACATGGTACTATCTTTGAATTTCACTTTCCAGAGTTGTTCATTGCTAGAAATGTGATCTTTTTATATTGACCCTGTATCCTCCAGTCTTGCTAAACTCACTAATTTGGTTGTTTAAAGATTTTATCTATTTATTTATTTATTTATTTATTTATTTATTTATTTAAGGAGTGCGTGCATGCATGCACACAAGTGAAGGCAAGGGGCAGAGGGAAAGGGAGAGAGAGACTCTCAGGTGTACTCTGCTGAGCACCGAGCTCCAAGCAGGGCTTGATCTCACGACCCTGAGATCATGACCTGAGCCGAAATCAAGAATGGAATGCTTAACTGACTGAACCACCCAGGCACCTCTTACTAGTTTTAGTAGCATTTGGGATTTTCTTTGTAAATCATGTAAGAAGAGAGTTTTATTTCTTCCTTTTCAACCTGTTTGCCTTTTATTTCTTATTCTGAGACCTCCAGTAGGAGGTTGAAGAGGAGTGTTGTCTACATATTAAAATATTCTTGCTCTTTATGAGGTTTTCTTTCTGCTCATATGTTACTATTATTATAATGGCTTGCTAGCTCCATGCATTGCTTGTTTTTTTTAATAAATTTTAAAGATTGATACTTGTACAAAAACTTTGTTTTTCTTGATGACCAAAGTAATATGTTCCCTGCAAGTACTATAAAGTATACAGAAAATCAGTTGGAATCTGCATTGTCAGATAATCACTGGCAAACATTTTGGTGGTTCCCTATGTTCTATGCATGTGAGGATATCTTTTGATTAATTCGTTCTACATATATGTAATCAAATGTCAGAACTTTAAGTCTATCCCTGGCCTCAAAGTAATAGCCGATGCAAACTGCACAGGCCATGAAGGGGTCCCTTCTCATGAAGGGGAGGTGTCTTGTCCCCTGAATCCTGAATGTCATGTGTTCTTCTAACAGCCTTCTGCAGCAGATGCATTAAAGACCAGTGGGAAGATGCCGGAAGGGGGAAGGAAACTCCAACTGCTCCGGAAGAGCAAAGGTGTGTAAAGATGGAGGGAGGTTGTGAAACAGCTCTGAAGCTCAGCGAGTGATGAACATGGTGGTGAATTTTGTTTTCAAGTATGCTAAGGTGAAACTCCCTCTTTCTTTCTAGGAAGTGTCAGAAGAAGGAGCTAGTTAAAGAATGTCCGTGTAAGGACAGATCTGAGGCATGTGGGGAGCTTAAGGGGGATGGCAAGGCGAGAGGGCAGGTTACTTCCGGAGCAGCCATGATCGTGCTTCCTTGATCGTGCGTCCCATTTCCTGGGTGGAACTCTGTTGAGAGCAGGACTCAGCGTGTGAGGCTTCATCTTCCTACCTCTCACCACCTCGGGTTAGATCTTCCTCGGAATGGTTTCCCCTTAATTGTTCTAGAAGCTGTCACCAAAGTGATATGCAAAATTTGGGAGTTTTTCTGATTGTAGACATATGTGTGTGTGGTAAAGCAAAAAACAACAACAAAAAACAAAATGTAGACGAGGAGGGTGGACACTCACTCATGAGCTGCCACTTCGATCATTACTGTGTATTTGGTGTTCAGTTGTAGTCAGTGTGCTCTTCCTAGAAATCTGGGACGGCCCCTCCCCAGAGTAGCACTCCATCCAGCTCCTCACATGCCCACTTCTCCAGCAACACTGGGTAGCTCTTTTGCATGAAAGCAGTTCACAAAAAGCAAAACTTTCTTGTCCCACACCTCCTTGTTCAAAATGGCAACAACTGTGAGTCTCATAGGAAAAATTAAGTACAGTGGACCGTTAAACAACATGGGTCTGAACTGCATGGATCTATTAATATGTGGGTTTTTTTACAGTACGGCACTGTAAATGTATTTTCTCTTATGATTTCCTTAACGTTTCCTTTTTTTTTTTTTTTTTTAGTTTACTTTGTTATAAGAGTACAGTTTATAGGATATATAACATGTAAAATATATGTTAATTGACTTTATGTTCTCAGTAGGGACTCCAATCAATTGGAGACTGTTAGTCGGGGGATTGGAAAGTTGTTGATCGTGGTTTAGCTGTTTGCTCAGCATCTGTGCTGCTCCTTGACCTAGGTGTGACTGAGAAGTGGCTCATGGAGCTGGGGTTGACTTTGTAGTCTTTCCTTATGCAGTTGGGTTGGGGGCCACCTGTCAAGCCGGGAAAGCTGGTGTTCAGCCCAGAGGGATCTGAAGTTGGGTCAGCCACATTTTAAAATCAGGGTTCTCACCCGCAGGCGATTCAGACTTAGAAATGTCTGGACATGTTTGATTGTTGTGAGGGGTGGGGGAGGTACGCCACTTGAGTCTGATGGGTGGAGGCCGGGGATGCTCCTCAGCAGCCTGCCACAGCCAGCACAGCCCCGTCCCAGAGAGTGATGCAGCTCCGGATGTCAGTAGCGTCAGAGCTGAGAAACCCTAATTTAAACAACCACCAGAATTGAGATGGAACCACCAGAGAGTGCTTGATTGAGTTCCATTGTATAGCTCAGTAGGAAATTACTTTTCTCGATGGAAACACTGTACATGCGCATGACGGAACATCTGACCCGTGCAAAAGCGATAGCAATAAAAAAAAAGTCCTGTCTCCCACCTCAGATTTCCGTCCTCCTACCCAGGAGGTCAACAGACTCCTGTTTATCTAGAATTTTTCAAAAATTTGGACAAAGGGTGCCATACCGTACACATTACCGTGGTGTCGCTCTATTTATTTCCACATACTCATTTTCTCAACTGCATTGGCATTCATTAAATCACTTGCTGTTTCTTTGCTAACACGACAGAGTATTTTGCATGCCATCTGTTTGTTTTGCGGCCCGCTGGAGCCCTGGCTTGGTTTAAGCCCACCGTACCCCATTGCCCATTTCAGGTGGCGTCAGGCATAACTTCACATGGTTAAGTAGAGGGTAAAGATGAAGGGAACTGCCAGGGAAGATGAACAGTCCAGAAGCTGCTGGAAAAAGAAGGGAAAAGCTGAGGGAAGAACAGGTACATGGTGTGTATCAGACTTCTATCCAGAACACAGCATTTTTCATTAAGCTAAGCAGCAAGGCATATTTGCATCTCTGGGTTAGAGAGCCTGCGTCACTTGTCTGCTTCTACTCTGAAATATATCCACCTTGCTGGCTGGGCATTTGGCAGAGGTGCTTCAGCCTTCTGTCCCACTCACCTCCCAAGACGCTGACTTTTTGGAAGCAAGTGGTAGTGTTCCACAGAGTTACCTGCTTGTCGGGGTAGGTGTGCAGTGCCTTGCAGACTGTGCTGACCTCTGGGGATTCTCACTGGGTCCACAGACAGCAGTGGAATCGGGAAGGGTGACCTGCAGTCCACGTTGCTGGAAGGGCATGGCACCGCCCCGCCGGACCTGGACCTCTCAGCCATCAACGGTAAATCATTCACCTTGGCCCCCCCTCACTGCCCCCCGCTTTTCCCCAGGCGGGGCTTGCGGTGTGTCTTGGCGGGCTGCCGAAGCGTGCTCTGAGTTCTCACCCTCAAAATACTTTCTTGATCTTAGACAAAAGTATGGTTAGAAAGACTCTGCAATTAGAAAAAACGATGTCTAAGAAGACTGAGTCATCGTCATTTTCTTCTTCACAGAGAAAGAGCCCGGTAAGTGTCCGAAATGAAAGGGAAGCTGTGGAATTAGAGACGCCTGATATTAGCTTCTGCCCTGTGCACATGCCGTGCAAGGCTCAAGGCTCTAAGATGGAACAAGCCAGCCACGCGTTCTAGGACAAACCCAAGACCACGCGCGTCTTCAGAATATACATAGAGTTTAAGTTGCCCCAAATACATGTACAGGAGTCGTTACTAAGGCGAGATCATGTGAACAACAGTGCCTCGTTTGCTGATGCTGTGCTAGGGAAAGCACTAGGCCAGGCCCTGGGTCCCGGGGCAGGACAGCTGGGCTGGGGTCTTGCTGGGGTCAGAGGCCCGTGTCCTGGCTCCAGTATGGCACTGATTGGATGGGTACCCCCCAGCTGACCCTGGACCAGCCAGCCACAGTAGGGGGCCGGACCATCCCCTTTCTTCTCATGGGGCGCCCAAGAAGACTAAAGGAGAAAATAGAAACAGCGGGTTGATACACAGGAGAGAATCATCAAACCACTGAATTAAGTAAAGTTCATAAAGGTTCGGCTTCTGCCCCTCCGGGGGAGAGAGCTAGGTTTATACCAATTCACTGGCAACCAAAAATGTCTTTTTCTCCTCCTCAAGGACCTGTCGGAGGCAATGGAAATGATGGAATCCCAAACGTTGCTCCTGACCCTGCTGACCGTAAAGGTGAAGACAGAACCTTGCTGGCGTGTGACGTGGGTGGGAGGGCAGCCTTTGTCAGCCGCAGGGGTGGAGTGCCCGCTGGTCTGAGTTCCTGTTGTGCACTTCACAGATGGAGAACGGTCTCGCTCCGTTCGAACAAAAGGCAGAGAGGAACTTATTAATAATGTGTAAAGAGAAGGAGAAGCTACAGAAGAAGGCCCACGAGCTGAAGCGCAAACATCTCCTCACTCAGAGGAAGCGGGAACTAGCAGACGTCCTTGACGCTCAGGTCTCTGCGCTGCGTGTCCCGGGAGGGGGTGCGGTGTGCCCGGCAGGGCAGTCAGAGGGAGTTCTGACGGGAGGTGTCCCTGCCGCCTGGGTGTTGGTATGTGACAGTCTGTAAGAGGATGAGGCTGTAATGTCAAGTACTGAGCGGCCAGAGGGACCTGCCCCTTCCATGCACGCATGCGCATATTCTTCAGGCCCCCTGAGGCTTGTGCTCAGCGACCCCACGGACCAGGGTGCTGGTGGGGGATGCTGTCTTGGCACCGCGTGGTCAGCGTTGGGACAAGAGCCGACCCCTGGCACCTGGAGAGGGCCCATCAGGAGATGGGGGCGGGTCCTCCAAGTGTGCGAGGGTACTAGGGCTGCCGTAACAAGTACCCCGGGGCCGGGCGGCTTAAACGATGGCACGGGAATCTCTCACGGTTCTGGAGGCAGGACATCTGAGACCAAGAGGTTAGCGCATGTGGTGCCTTACCAGGGCCAGGAAAGAAGGCTTTGTCTTCGGCCTCTGTCCTTGGCCTCTAGAGGGCCATCTCCTCCCTGCGTCCCTTCACTTGGCATTCTCCCTGTGTGCTTCTCTGTCTCCAGACCTGGCTCACTTGAACCTTAAGTCGGTTAC